TTTTATAGTGATATGAGAAAGTCTTACATCTTTATTATTATTATTATTATTATTACTATTATTATTATTATTATTAGATGATGTCAACTCGATTTTCGATAAACTTTTATAAATGAGAAAGTATTTTTATTTTCAAAATTTTCCACCTACTGAGTTATCAACTCATATTTTTCTACAATTTTTCTTACAGGTAGCAATTGATTTTTGATAGCTAGAAGAGCCTGATGATTTCAGAATTATAGTCACGCTACATGTTGAGTTATAAGATTAATTTTGGTATAACACGAAATAATTATTTTGGGCATGTTGTTGCATCATATTTTTCACAAACGTTTGATTTCGGTGCATATTTTGTAGTAACTCATAGACAACCTTGATGGTGAATCTGGCAACTGGTAAGTATCTAGCATCGACGTACGTCACATTTCGAATCCATAGGGTGATTCGTGACGGATCATGTCATTACTCGCCCTCCTAAACTTATTCACCAAACGGCACCTAATCCACCCATGTTGCATCCTATATCTTCGATCCCCATTCCAATAGCTTAAATATGCCTGATGCGTTAACAAACACTATGAACGCCTTCGCCTCAACTCCAAAGCGTGAACTAAAGACCATAAGACCCGCTGCATCAGATTGTTTCCCATGATTTTGTGCAAACCAGCCAGCTGATGATGGAACTAACGGTCAAAATGGCCTCATTGTAGCGTGACCGCTTGGACATCCTCTTTTGTCGACAACGCGTGGGTCCACGTGCCTGCCCTCCTGATGTCGAAACGACCTACAAGGCCATCCAAACAGGTGCGTGAGACCTGTAGATGGTCGGACATGTGAAACAAATTTGTCTTCTCCACTCGCTCTGTTCTTGCCTTCTACCTTTGTAAATGTTGTTGCCAAGATCCTTCAACTCCTTGCCGACGAGTGAGCCATTGTCCTCCATGGATCCGAGCGACGGCACTAGGGTTTTCGGACGCATCTGCCGGGTGTGAGAGAGCGTGGCCGTAATTTTGTGGCATAAGGCCGATGGGGTTGGGCATCTGATCTGGGCTGTAACCGGCGCCGGTGAGGCAATGTTAGGTAGGGTTGGGTGGTGGGCGCCGGGCAAGTTGGTTTGGAAAAAACGGGAGTTGCCACCAATATGATCCTTGGAGTAATAAGACTCTGACCTTGATTTGTTGGACAAAAAATGGTTTCTTCCATCTACCCCAATCACATACAAGTACCAGGGGAAAAAAAAAGTTCACGTGTGAGATACTAGCATGCATAATTTCCATAAGAAGCATATTCTATTGTCCTTACATTATAAACTACTACTGACTTCAAAGCGTGAAGCTCGGCCAAAGAACTCACACTGTAAAAAATTTAAAGAACCATATCCGGATATCAATTTACACAAAAAAATTTGAATACCAATTCTGATCCCGACAGAATTCTCTGTATTGAATTCACTTATTTCACTTACATCAGTGTTCAGCATATCATTCTCAAAGAATTTAGAAAAAATCAATTATTTTCACCAATATAAGCTTTTGAATAATCTACATACATTTTTGGGTCGATTACCAAACCCTCAACTACAAAGAGGACGAAATAAAATTCTAATTCTTCGTCAGTTTCAAGTATTTGGAAATCGTGTTCAGAAAATGTTCTACTACACAAATCCTTCAGTTAAAATAACATATGCTAAACCGTGCATCATATAAACTGATCAGATAAGTACAATTTACGATTTAACAACCTGGAAAACTTTAAAAAATTAACAAAAAGAAAATAGTAAACACATGAAAGAATAAATTAAAATCAGAAATACGTCTATAATCATCAAGAAAGAGAAGTTTTCGAAAAGAATCACATCATGAATCTTAGACCCCAAAAAAAAAAAAAAAACACTATTGGACATCTTATAAAACTTTAAGAGAGAGACTTACTTCGGCAGGGATCGAAAGGAGTTGGCGGGGTAGAAGGCGGCGGTGGGGAAGATGGGGGATCGCCGGGTGATACCGAGGGTACCGGGAGCGGAGGAAGGGGTGTCGGATTCGAATTTCAGCAATTGGAGGGTGGTGTCTAGGGGTTTGGGTTTAACAGTAAAAATACTGCCAATTTGACAACAGAGGTTATGGATTTTTTATTTTTATCTTTTCCCCTTTTCCTGCAACACTACGGATTGACGAGGTGAAAACACTTGATTTTGCTAATAAAATAACATCCAGGATTAAAGGATCAACTCTTCTAAATTATTTTGATTATAGAGAAGAATAAGGCCTCTCAACATTTTTGTTTTTTATTTTTTGGTTCAACTTATCAGCCCACTTCATGATGAGTGTTTTATTTGGTCCTTTTTATGATCGTTCGATGTGGAAATTTCACAACATACATTATTTTTTATTTAAATCCATATTGTACTATTAAATATTATTTATATTAAAAATATCGCAATTTTTATAGTAAAAATGATAACTGAAAACTACTTCTCTCATCAATTAATAATTTAATATACTCATTGACCTCAATCACTCCATCAAATACATCCCAAATCATCTACTTAACTTGCCAAAAAAACATCCCAATCAGTTTTTCTGTTTACTAAAAAGAATCCTAAAACCACCCATCATCTTCAATTGATAGAAGGAATCTATCAAATTTGTAGCCTTATTCATATCAAAATCTTATTTTCTATAAGAATTTGTGCCAAGTAATTGACATCCATACTTCAATTAAACGAGGTCTAGATTTTTATCTCAATTATGTAATTCGTAATAGAGGTGAAGACACTTGCATCCAACTAGTCCATTACTAGAAAATCTTATTTTCTATCTTGATTTCCATGATATGGAGATATTCACTAGTCCATTACTGGAAGAAGGCAGAAGATAGAAGAATAGCATAAATAGAATAAAACATAGAAATATAGATCAAACAAGACAAAAGGTATACATAATACAAACACAATCACATTTATATTAAAAATAATGCAATTTTTATAGTAAAAGTGATAATTGAAAAAATACCTCTCTCATCAATTAATATCAATATTTTGAAAATCGACCCGATCATCGATCCGAAAAAGTTAAAAGGTAAAACGGTTGGAGTCGACTCAGAGTTAAAATAATAAATAAATATATTTATTTAACATTTATATTTGAGTAATTTAACATTAATGGGCCAAAAGGCCCAAAACACACATTAATCATTAACAAACCCTAAAATGAAAATTGAAAGTGCAACACAATTTTCCAGAAGGGTTCTGCTACAAATACAGGGAAGGGGACATGGATTTGATCCAGGGCTAAGGTCGGGCCAACTCGGCCCTGGATCCAATCTCGGGGTTAAGGATGAACATAATAATCCTTTTCCAGAATCTGTGGTGCCGATCTTCTCTTTTTATTACCATCTTCTCTCTCTACAGTAAAAATACATATTTACGTATACTAGTGGTTCTTATAATCTACTCTTCTTCACCGGTCCTATCTCCTTAACCTTCAATATATGTTTATGTATTTTTTCGATGGAAATTTTAGGTAGGGATGAACGTGGTTCGATTTTGGCGATTTGTATTATATTTTCAACTCAAATCATTTTGTGCGGTTTGAAATTTTTTCAAACCAAACCAAACCATAATTTGCGGTTTGATTCGATTTTAATCCGTGAAATACTTTTCGACATTATAGTAATATATTTAACTTAAGTTAAATATAAGTTTAAATGAGAACTAATAATGTTAAATGTTAAATTACATTCATATTTATCATGAAACCTATGAATAAATTATTTTCAAAGTTAGTTGCTAAAACAAGTTGATAGAACAAATACATCTTTTTTCATTTTTATTTACCTTTTCTTATTTGACATTCATATTGTCATATAGCGGTTGGTTACCTTTGTTATTACAGTTTGGTTAAAATTCCTTTCATTTTGCTAGTGAGATGTTAAACAAGGATTAAACGGAATATGTTTAGATATACAAAGATTGATAGAGTTTCGGCTTATTGGGAATTGACGAATTTTATCCTCTAACTAATTTATGAAAGTAGAAGGTAGTAATACTAGTTAGGGAGTTTTAACATTTTTATACATTTAATACGCTGTCTATCCTTCTTTCAAAATCACAAACAATTTCATTAATCATATAGGCACACAAACAATTATTTTTCTATCCAAACCGCAACTCGGAAGTGTATAATAAATCCAAAATAAATAAATAAATAAAAGAACAATGGAAAAATCACTTAAATAAAAATCTAAAACTTACCAAAAGAGAAGGGAGAAAGAGGTTGTTCAAATAGGGATTAGTAGACTAACAGGTAAAAGCGACAACTTACCGAAAGAGAAGGGAGAAAGAGGCTGTTCAAATAGAGATTAGTAGACTAACAGGCAAAAGCGATTGGCAATTCGCTCAACAGTAACAGACAAGTGTATAATATTAGGGAAATGAAAGTTTATGTTAAGGTTTCTGAAACTTTGAACGTTATTTGTTGACGTAATTTTTTTGAATTATAATTTGGATTGTTGAAAATATATGATTTTTTTTTCATTTCATATGATTTTGAAATAATTTTAGTTTAGTTTAAATATCGAATGAGGACGCCTGTTGTGAACCTATTAAATCATAAGTCAATAATAATGAACCTAATTTACTTTCTATTATTATTTCAATAGGTCAATTATAATTTGTATTGCTAAATTGATATTTTTTTGAAAAGTGAAAATTGTAAAATTTTTAAATTAATAAAATTTATTTTTAATTAAAAAATTTAAAAACAATTGAATTCAATTTTGTGCAATTTTTGAAAATAAAAAATCTAAACCAAACCATTTTGAAACGGTTTAGTTCGATTCGAGGAAAAAGAAATCACAGGTCCATGTGAACCCAAACCAACGGTTTTAACTTAACGATTTCAGTTCGGTTTGCGATTTCGCGATTTTTTTATGTAACCCTAATTTTAAGCAACGGTCCAAAGACTCATCGATTTTGGAACCCAATATGCAAGCATCTATGATAAACTGAACTTCATTATATCTTCTATTGTGTTGTTGATATTACACGAGAAATTACAGTAATGCATCATCTTTTTCATACTATTAAATTTTTTTTTAAATATTTTGTTAAACCCGAAAAAACTGTGTCGTATGGACTGGACAGTTTTTTGGGTTTCATACCGATTTTTATACATCCTGTTATTATGTTGTGATCGGACTGAATATCGGTCAGGTTCCCGATTGAACCGATCGGTCTGGTCCAAGTCTAAAAACATTGATTAATATACTCATTGACCTCAATCACTCCATCCAATACATCCCAAGTCATTGAGCTGATACTATTTTGGGAGGCAGCGTGCGCAAGATGTACAGCACTAGTGCTGAAGGAAGAATCTCGACTAGCTGTTTTTGCATCAACTATATGAGAAAACAAAACTAGGGAAGAAAAGGTTTGTAAACTTGATAAAAGCAATTTACCATGTAATAGATAAGATTTAGAATTATATGGTCCAATACTTCAAGAGATGCATTTGGGTCGAAAGCAGATAGCCCAACCTGTCGAATGTAGCAAAATAAAAGCATCACAAGATCAATAAAGAGTGCATCAAAGAATGCAGTGGAAGAGAAGTACAGCACAGTCAGATAAGATATAACTCCAAAATTCTATAAAAAAGTAAATCCAATGTTCCAACTTAATGACTTCTTTGTGCTTTTTGACATCTGTTAATGACTGGGGATTTATTCACAAGACATTAATTTTGAATAAAGAATAAAAATGACTGTTGTAATGTTTCTGGGCTTATGCAACAGGTGAACAAATGAAGACCATATCGGCCTATAAATCCACTCACTCACGATTCCCTTTTAATTTTGAAATACACTTCACCTCATAAAGCCCCATTTACATTGTACCCCAATGAATTCAAATAAAATAATATACTGCATTTCATGCATAGTTGAAATGGAAAATTGGATAGATCAAGAGTTTGATTAGGAATTTTCTTGACCTGTTGGACCCCATCAGCAAAAACCACCCCAATGACATTAAACAAAATGAAACCAAATGAGCACCAACTTAAAGAACAATCAAGTCAACCCCAAAATTGATATTAAATCTCGACTCAATTTTATTTTTATTTATTTATTTATTTTTATTTATTGTCATTAGAGCGGATGTTTTCATCAACCAGAAAAGGCCAAAAAAAAAGAAGAAGAAGAAGAAGAATTGAGATCGATAATTACCTTAATAGCAGTGAAGCCCAAAATAATAGATACAAAAATTGAAAAAGGAAAGAGGTGATAAATAAAGAATCAAAACATGAAAGAAAATGCATAAAGAAAAAATTAAAAATATATCCAAGAAGGTTGAGGACTTTCCGGCGACCTTGACAGTGGACAATCATTGACCAGCGTCAGCAATTGAAAACAGATGATCGATGATGGCAATTTGGCCAGAAAATATGAGAGGTGACGAGTAAGAGAGAGTGAGAGGGAGATGGATGACATTAGGGTTGCGTAACTTGCGTTTTGTGTTGTATCTCATGAATTCTATAATAGAGGTGAAGACACTTGCATCCAACTGGTTTGAGCAATCCAAATGTTCATGATTTGCACGATATGAAGATATTCACTAGTCTATTACTGCAATAAGACAGAACGTAGAAGGTGTATTATAAATAGAATAAAACATAGGTATAAAGATCCAACAAGACAAAAGGTAGTAGGTACACCATAAATGGACATTTATATTAAAAATATTGCAATTTTTATAGTAAAAATGATAACCGAAAAAAATACCCCTCTCATCAATTAGTATACTCATTGACCTCAATCACTCCATCAAATACATCCCCAATTATTTGCTTTAACTTGCCAAAAGAAAATCCCAATCAATCTTTCTATTTACTAAAAAAAAAATCCTAAAATCACCCATCATCTTGAATTGATAAAAGAAATTTATCAAATTTGTAGCTTTATTCATATCAAAATCTTATTTTCTATAAGAAATCGTGCCAAGAAATCGACATCCATACTTCAATTAAACGGTTCTAGATTTTTATTTCGTTCGTCTAACTGGTATGAGCAGTCCAAATGTTCTTGGTTTGCACGATATTAAGATATTCACTAGTCCACTACTACAACGAGACAGAAGGTAGAAGATATATCATAAATAGAATAAAACACAGAAATATAGATCCAACAAGACAAAGGGTAGAAGGTATATCATAAATGGAATACAAACACAATCACATATATGAATTCGTAAGGATTGGTGTTACAAGAGTTGGTAATTATGAAAAAAACAACAATCATGACTACATTTTTAATCATGTGTAAACCAATACAGCACATCACCATAGTAAATAAGTAGTGAAATACTAAATTTTTCAATTGATGAATACCATAAGTTATTCAGAGATGGGTAACGTCAACTATATTACATATATATTAAGCTTCATTTATTTATATAAGTCGGATGGTCATACAAATTCAATTCATAGTTCCAGGTGCAACAGAATGAAAAAGTTGTAGACATTATAGAATTCATATGCTCGTGTTAGTTTAATTTCAAATGGTAATATAAGTTTTTATAATTAAAATTTATAGCAAAGGAATTCTGGACAAAATGAAACTCGTTAAACTTGACAAAATCCGCATTCAATACTAAACTGTCAATAAATTGGTTTACAAAAACAGAAATAAAGTGACTTATTTTGTGTCGTATTAGTTAGAATATGTTAGAAATTGATACAATTACATGTAATCTTTACAAAAGAGAGGTACAAAATATAATTCCGATGAATCAAATTTCGAATTGCATAACAACGAAGACCTTACTGCAATCTCTCTTCAACAATTGATGATTACGAGTGTCCCAATTGTAATGTTAATTGCTATGTAATAATCATTTGCTGTTTAAATTTGGATCTCCATATATTTAACATATGGAGTTAATATCACCATTTTCTTTGCCTCTTGAAATTTTCAATTTATGGTTCCAAAGAGGAAAATTTCGTATATAGTAATATAGAGATTTTAATGAGATTATGCAGTAAAATTGGTTAATAAAACAATTGAGTAGCATAAAATGAAATAATATATATCAAGCATGCTTCTTAGTGTCCTAACAAGAGAGCACTGATCTTGAGTGCTAATGGAGAAATCGTGAGTGACGGCGATGGACATGGGATGCCCGAACTAGAGGATGTTAGTGGTGGTGAAATAGTAGAGCATGCAATGGAAGGTGAAGTGCTTGTGGTGATGTGTGTACTCAACATACAAGTCAAGGTGGATGAAGAAGAACAGCAGCGAGAGAACATCTTCCATACCAGATGCCACTTTGAGAACAAGATATGTGTGTTAATAATTGATGGGGGTTGCTGTACTAATATTGCTAGTACCACAATAATTGAGAAGTTGGGCTTGAATACAATTAAATGCCCTAAGCCTTATAAACTACGATGGTTGGATGATCATGGAGAGGCTAAGATGACTAAATGAGTATTGGTGAATCTTTCGATTAGGCGATATAAGGATGGGGTGTTGTGTGATGTTGTGCCAATGCACGCGGGACATATTTTGTTGGTAGGCCGTGGCAATATGATCGAAGGGTAAAGCATGATGAGTTTAGAAATAGGTACAATTTTAAAAAGGACGGAAAATCCATTATACTTGTACCTTTGACACCACAGCAAGTGTATGAAGATCTGTAGAAAACCGGTTATGAAAAGACACAGAGAATGTTGTAATTGATTAGATGATTTATACGATTATTGGTTAGACGATTTATTTCCTTATTTAACAAATTGCAGTCTTCCTTTTTTATTCCATGCTTCGTAATATAAATAGGTTGTATTAGATTTGTAATAATCATTGAAAAATAAAATAAGTTTCATTCTTCATGGTATCAGAACCTAGGTTATCCTAACCTAGTACACCAATTGCTGAATTTCCCGTCAACGGCCAAGAATCAATGACCTCTGAAACTTCTCGTCCTGAAGCAGAGACCAACCCTTCTATTGGATCCAATAATCTCGAAAATTCCTCATTCCAACTCACAGTAGAAAAACTAAACGAGAGAGATTTTCGAGAATGGGCCCAATCTATAAAACTGGTCATCCACGGGAAAGGGAAATTGGGTTACCTTACCGGTGATACAAAAAGACCGATCGATGCTGTGAGTCTGCAGAAGTGGATATCTGAGAATTCAATGGTGATAGATTGGCTCGTAAATCCATGAAGCATTCTATAGGGAAGACTTACCTGTTCCTTCCAACAACCAAAGACGTGTGGCATGCCGTGAAGGAAACATACTCCGACGCCGAGGACACATCACAATTCTTCAAAATTAAAACCCGTTTGTGGCAAACTAAGGAAGAATCAAGGGATGTTACTGAATACTACATGGAGATGGCACCCCCATGGTAGGAACTCGACCTTAGCTTGGAGGAAGAACGGGAGTGTTCAAATGACAATGCACGGTACAAGAAAAAGGTCGAGAATGAAAGAATGTTCGAGTTCTTGGCTGGGCTAAATCGAGAACTCGACGATGTCATGGGTAGGGTTCTAGGTCGACGACCACTACCTTCCACTTGTGAGGTGTTAACGGAGGTCCGGCGAGAAGAATCACGGTGGTAGGTCATGTTGAAGGAATTTTTTGGACTGAATAATGAAGTATCGGCCTTGAAATCACATCTTGGGCCACCATTCTTTAGAGAAAATGGGCCGGCTAATTTTAGCCCAGGAACAGGAGGGTTAAAAGGAACTGGGCCAGCATTTTTTGGGCTTGGAAATGAAATAAAAAGTGGGCCAGAAAGTGAAACAAATTTTGGACCAGCAATTAAAAATGGACAAGGAGCATTGGGCTTGTCATCTAAGGGGATAGCCGGGCAACCCAACCAAAAACAGCAGCGAGGACGACCGTGGTATAAACATTGTCGCAAATCGGGGCACAAAGAAGACACTTGTTGGGATATTCACGGGAAACCAGTGGACTGGAAACCAAAGCAAAACACAAGGGGCCGACGATACCAAGCCGAGACAGACATTAATCCCACTCCAAGCGGGACATTTAACTCAGACATCCAGCTAATCTTCCTCAAAAGGTTCATCTAATTATTTAGCTCACAAAGGTAATTTTTTGAAAGCCTTAAATACTTCACGACACAAAACCCCATAGTTATTGATTCGAGTGCGTCCGATCATATGACAGACTCATATCACTTATTCTCTTTATACTCTACATGTGCTGGAAACATTAAAGTAAAATTGCAGACGGCTCACTCCCATCTGTTGCAGAAAAATTGAGTATTAAAATCTCTGAATCTTTAACACTAGAATTAGTCCTTCATGCCCTAAATTTGTCAAGTAACTTATTATCTGTTAGTTAACTTACAAAAAATTCTTATTGCTCAGCTAAATTTTTTCCATCATATTGTGTCTCTCAGAGCCTTTCATCGGGGAAGACGATTGACAATGCTAAAGAGTGTGAAGGACTTTACTATTTCGAAGAAGCTTATATGAGTAAGCTAGGTCAATTTTCAAGTTGTAATTCCACATCTGTTTCTAGAGATAGGGAAATTCTGTTATGGCACTATAGAATGAGTCATCCTAGTCTATAATACTTGAAGCATGTACTTCCTTCTCTTTTCTTGAATAAAACATCATTTAAGCTTCAATGTGAAAGTTGTGAATTTGCAAAGCATCAACGAACAAATTTTCCAAATTCCACATATAAACCATCTAAGTCATTTGCCATAATTCACAGTGACTTATGGGGACCTTCTCGTGATCCCAATCCTACCCACACAAAATGGTTTGTCACATTCATCGACCACCACACTCGAGCATGTTGGGTCTATCTACTAAAAGAAAATTTTGATGTTCGCACAGTATTCATAAATTTTCATTCTATGATTCAAACACAACTTCAAATTTTACGTACTGACAATAGCACATAATATTTCAACACCACTTTGCAAGACTACTTGAAAAGACACGGAATAGTCCACCAAAGTTCATGTGTCAACACTCCCCAACAAAATGAGATTGCTGAACGAAAAAATAGACACCTACTTGAAGTTGCTCATACTTTAATGTTTACTACAAACATGCCAAAAACATTCTAGGGAGATGCCATTCTAACATCCTCATATCTCATCAATCGAATGCCTAGTCGTACTCTCTCTTTCAACTCACCCATACAAAAATTTCAAAAGTACTATCCTACTTCTCGCCTCAGTTCAAACCTACCTCTAAGAGTGTTTGGAAGCACTACCTTCGTACATATTCACTCCCATCATCGAAACAAACTTAAACCATGTGCAATCAAATGTGTATTCATTAGCTACTCACACACTCAAAAGGGCTACAAATGATGTGACCCATCCACAAAAAAGGTGTTTGTCAGCCTAGATATCACCTTCTTCAAAAGAACACCCTACTTCCAAAAACCTTCCCTTAAGGGGGAGAATCAGAGTGAAGATCGGTTCTTGGATCGGAAATTCTTAAACTTTAACCTTTTTTCCTTCTGAACCAACACATACCTCACCTTCTAATGTGCCATATACAGAAGGCAACTGCAACTTAAGGGGAGATGTTGGAAAACAAAATGATAAGAAGGTGCTAGTTTACTCAAGGAAGCCTAAATTGAAGTACAAGGAAAATCTCACACCTCAGGCACCAAGAGAGTCAGAACCGATGATAGGACCTAATGAGAACCCCTCCAATGAATCTCCAAACGATTTACCTATTGCTCTCAGGAAACAAACTCGGTCATGTACTCTCCATCCTATTTCAAAACTCAAGTCTTATAAAACTCTATCTACAGGGTTTCGTGCTTTTACAGCTAACTTGGATGAAACAGAAATCCCAAAAAAATAAAAATCAGAGGCCTTGGAATCACCCAAATGGAGAGAGGCAATAATGGAGGAAATGAGAGCTTTAAATAAGAATGGAACACGGGAAATGGTAAACTTATCGAAAGGAAAGAAAACTGTGAGATGCAAATGGGTGTTTAATGTGAAATACAAAGCTGATGGGACTATAGAGCGCTACAAAGCTCGTCGGTCGTCAAAGGATATACTCAAACTTATGGGATTGACTACACAGAAACATTTGCACCAGCGGCAAAACTAAATACAGTCAGAGTTTTGTTGTCATTAGCCGTTAATTTAGATTGGTCACTTCAACAGCTGAACATCAAGAATGCATTCCTGAATAGAGAGCTAGAAGAAGTGTTCATGACAATACCACCAAGGTTCAACAAAGGAAATGAAGAAAAACAAATGTGTAGACTCAAGAAATCTCTATATGGTCTCAAACAATCACCAAGAGCATGGTTCGATAGATTTGCAAAAGTATTAAAAATCAAGGATATCAGCAATGGCAATCAAATCATACCATGTTCTTCCGACAGTGTAAAGATGGGGCAAAAACAATTCTAATTGTTGATGATATCATCTTAACTAGGGGCAACACAGCAGAAATGGAAAGACTAAAGAAATACTTAGCCACCGAATTCGAAGTGAAGGACCTAGGACAGATGCAATACTTCTTAGGAATGGAGATTGCACGATCAAAGAAATGTATTAGTGTTTCTCAAAGAAAATATATTCTCGATCTATTAACTGAAACTGTGATGCTAGGATGCAAACCAAGCAACATACCTATTGAGGTTGGAAAAATAACAAAAGACTTCGGTAACTCAATGGAAACAGACAGATACCAAAGACTTGTTGGGAAGTTAATCTACCTATCACATACTAGACCTGACATCACCTTCGCAGACAGCATGGTAAGTCAGCATATGCACTCTCCCAAAGAAGCTCACCTGGAGGCTGTGTACAAAATATTGAGATATCTAAAAGGCAATCCCCAAAAAGGATTGTTCTTCGAAAAAAATAAAAGATAGGTAGTAGAGATATTCACAGACGCAGATTGGGCTGGATCAACGGAAGACAGAAGATCTACTACTGGCTACTGTAGTCTGGGAAAATTTGGTAACTTGGAGAAGTAAGAAACAGAATGTAGTGGCGAGAAGTAATGTTGAAGCTGAATTTAGAGCTATTACACAAGGAATAAGTGAAGGACTATGGATAAAGAAACTCTTAGAAGAACTAATCGTCAAAGTTGAACTTCCAATCAAACTCTATTGTGATAACAAAACAGCCATCAATATTTATCTCAATCCAGTAACACATGATAGAACTAAACATGTAGAAGTGGACAGACATTTTATCAAAGAGAAAGTTGAAGATAGAATTATCTGTATGACATATGTCCCTACGAAAGAGGAAATTGCGGATATCTTCACTAAAGGACTACCAAAACAAGTTTTTGATACCTTCAGTTGCAAGTTGAACATGATTAACATCTGCGGTTCAACTTGAGGGGGAGTGTAGAAAACGAGTTATGGAAATACACAGAGAATATTGTAATTGATAGGATTGTTATAGGATTATTGGTTAGATGATTTATTTCCTTATTTAACAAATTGTAGTCTTTCTTTTTTATTCCATGCTTTGTAACATAAATAGGTTGTATTAGATTTGTAAAAATCATTGAAAAATAAAAGAAGTTTCATTCTTCAAGATCAAATAAGATTGAGGGGCGAGAACGAGAGAAAAGGCAAAGATAGACAAAAAGAGAGCTCAAGAGAAAACGGAAAGGTGGCTAAGTGTGAGAAAAATTGAGTAGAGCCACGTGAGAGAAAAGAATGAGAGCTTTTTGAGCGGAGAGAAAAGTGTAAAGTGAGCTTGAGAGTGAGCTGGTTAGGAGTAACAAGTCCCTCCCTAGTTTAAATATATCTTTGATGTAGGAATGTGCGAACTTGTTGCTTAAGGACTTTCTAAAAGGGATATCGCCATTTGAATATTCGATTGATGCTTTGCCATTGGAGAATTTTATGAGCATTGAAGGAGAAACACACTATCATGACATTGTGGCATCTCAAAATTCCAAGCAAGGGTTGGATAATGTGCTAGTAGGTGGAAGGCCGGAAAAGAAGCCAAGCTTGTTCCAAGATATTAAATGGGAGAGACATAAAACATTCAAACCTAGAGATTGGGCTTGGAAGAATCGATGAAAGGGCGTGACCGGTTGCAAAGGAGATCAAAGCTACACCTAAGAGGAGATGGTCCATTCCATGGCATTACAAGGGTTGAAAGGCAATACATACAATGGAGATCTTGAAGTTCCATATTCAAGGACAAATCCTTTCAAAGAGGAAGGGGATGATATAACCCGGGATGCACCACCAATTATCGAAGATTTGATAATTGATTGGAAGAAGCCAAAGCCACACAATTAATGGTTCGAGCCATAGAGTATGCAATGTTGAAGGTAATATGCCAAAGATCAAGATTGGTGTTGGGGACGAAGGCCGAAATGGATGGGAGCCAATTGATTCACAAGGCCAAACTTGGAGCCACAATCAAACCGCATAGTGGTTCCTGGCATGCAGTTGCACAGGACCTTACAGGGAAGCAAGGGGCGGAGGCAGCTTTTTCTATGCGATCGCACCCATTTGTGCCTAGCAGTCGCATAGACCAATTCGGACACCAAGTTTTTAATTTTTCGCTAGTTTCCTAATTGGTTTAGAATTATAATCTTTCCATATTTCTTTCAATATGCTGGACATGTTGCCATTTAAAATTAGGTTTTAAAGATTCATATAAATAGGATTTTATTTCATTCTTTGTATTCCAAAACGCTGATTATTAAGAAATTAATTGTGAGGGAAGTTTGTTTCCAAAATTCTTGTTCTTTGAACAAATCGAACTTACCAAGGAAATCAATTTCTTATGGTGTTCACAATCTTTGGATAAGATTCGTATACCGTGTAATTAAGAAGTCGTTATTTTAATATACATTTAGTTACTTAATTCATTATTTGCGAGTTTAATCCAAAATCGATGATTCTTTGGCATTCTTGGGATCCGTATCAATCTAGTTGTGGGTTCAATAGTGTTCATGCTACACGGGTTCACGTCATAAAGTCAATCTCCTGCTTACAAGATAACAAAGATTGTCAAGTTCGATTTGTCATATTGTAAATATTGTCCATTAGCCTTTCTGGTGTTGCTACCAGTATGTCCACTAAACTTCTCAAGCCCAAAAAGAAATCTTCTTGAGTCAAAACAGATATCGGCCTATGGTTTAGCTTTCTTGATGAGCACTAAAATTTCATCGATCATTGAAGACTGACCAACAGTCAAACCCACAGACAAGTCCACTGCAGGAGCTAGGGAAGCAAAGACTTTCTTGACCTAAAAAAAACACCATCAAAGCTAATGTGATTTAGTATAAAGAGAAAGTCTGCCATAAAAAAGGTTAGACTTACAAGAAAGTACAGACAAAAGTATGGTCTGGAAAATATAACGATTATATTCCAGAACAATGATTGAAATAAAAAGCCATAAATGTGCAGTGAATTTATAGAGATAAATATATAACCTGCATAGGCAAGTCATGAGTGGACAATACTACCAAAGCATGGAGACATTTTATCGTACGAGTTGACAACGTTTGCACAATTAGTAAAGCATAAGCAAGAGTTTTTCCACTCCCCATAGGTGAATTTATACAAAGATCATATTCAAAAGAACCAGTTCCAATTGTCTCCTGCCAGATTGCAACTTGCACAAGAAAGAGTGAAGTAATACCCATGTTACATAAAGCTGCATCTAACCTGAAAATGAAGGATAAATTTACTTGTACATAATTTTGTGTACATAAAGGTGTCCACCACCCTCACATGAGGTGAGGCCCACTTGAATAAAATGTTCGATGGCCCTACCCGGCCATTTCATGTGTATATGGACACCCTTATGTGCACAAAATTAGGTACAAGTAGTATCACTCAAAAATGAATACAATTAAAATAAGAAAAGAAAGGAGGGTGATAGGGGAGAAAGAGAAATTGGACAACAAACAAAAAAATATAGGGAAAATAAAATAAATACATTGTCCGATTGCACATAGTACCATCGTTGAACATATATTACTTTGGGTCCAAAAAAGGGGAGGAAATTAAGCGAAAAATCTTCGTAGAGGCTAATATCAATTGAATTTCTCATCCATGGCAACACTGGAACACTTGTCTTTTGTTCTGTAGCCACCTCCATTACTTCAATCCAAATCCCCTTAAACCATTAAAAAGCAAGCTATTATTTTTTCAACTATTTAGCTACCATCATATGCGTGCAAAGCCACACATATGAAGGTAAAATATCATAAATAACTACATAGATCTCAACTTAATATGACCATACTTGTAATCTAGTTGAACTTTTCAAAATCATTAACAAGTAAACAAATTTGCTCAATTCCACTAATTTTGTTTTTTGATAACCATGGCTATCTAGGCTCGCAACTCGACTAATCCCACGAGGCCATGAAATTTATAGTCAGTACTCACCTCAGTGGCCCTGAAAGAACTCGAACTGATGACCATTGGGGAACAAATCCAAGTTCTGACCACTGAGCTCTCCCTCTGAGATCTCAATTCCACTAATGTTGTGGAATATATAAAAAGGCAAATGCATAAACAGATAAAAGCAAATAAATCAAAATGAAAAGCTTCAAAAAATATATTAGAAAATAATTGCAGATTGCATTTATTCGTACCAAATATATACTAAACAACGATCAAAAGAACCAAATAATAAATTACAAGTAATCTATAAAGTTAGAGTTTGAAATTTTAATACCTGATCTGTGTAGAAGAATTGGAATTTTCTGTAGTTCTTGTGTTTCTTTGCCTATTGCATATGGTTGATTATAGATCTAATAATTTGGACAACTAGTTTACTGTTTTAGATAGCCTAAAATAGTTTCAACAAATTTCAATATCATAAAATAAAAAATGGGCTAGACCAAATCGGATTTAATCTAATCTAGTTTGAGTCCATAGTACAATGGGATTCGAATATGAGTGTTAAATTAGCCCATTTGCTCAGACGGCCTATCACCCAGCACGAGCCAATGCCATTTTGGCCTGTGTGCTACCTACTTTTTATAGGCAACTACTTGCAACAATTTAAAATTAAAAAAACTCAAGTCGAGTCAATTTTGTTTAATGAAGCTCGAGCCAAGCCACAGATTCTCGGTCAGGCTTTGGCTTGGCTCGACTCAACTCGATTCAAAAAAGCTCGAGCCAAATTTTCTTCTGGTCGCAAACTTCGTTAAACAAGATAAAGCATAATTAGGCACCCCAATAAGCCAAACTCCATTTCAAACTAGAATTTTTATTATTTAACACTACATATTTAGAATTATGTATTAAACGTCTCATATATGCAATATAGTCTCTAAGTCGTAACATGATACTGTAAACATCTATAGCCTTATATGTTTTAATTTGTTCAATTAGCATTACTATTTAGACACGTATAGATTTTATTTTTTATGCGATCCAAAATGAATGTAATAACTCTGAGTTTCGATTCATGTCGCATTCGAGAATAGTTCGAATAAAGAAGCACAACCCAATAATACCTCTGATGTATCAAATTGTGCACCAGAAACACTATCAAAGGGGAGAGTACATGTCAAATATCATACCAAACTAATATTAGTAGTATGGCGTTAATCACCTTGAACACTAAAAACACAATAATTCAAATCCAATAATCAACAAGTAAATTGACCGGGTTATTCTATCCTTCAATGCCAAATACAACAAAAGTATAACACATGAACACAATGACAACTTAAAATTCTTTCTTTAAAAAAGACAGTAATTGAGGTAAAGAAGAAGAACGAGCAAGGTAGAGGGCCAACTGATTTGTGTATATATAAATTGCAACTATCTTGACTCAATCATCAATCACCTAATTTACCAAAATCATTGGGAAAAAAAGTACTTATTCTTGTATATTTTTTTATAATGGGGTACTTACCAAGTGACTTTAAACGAAAATAGAATTTTGACAATTAATCGCGTTCTTCTTCTTCGTTGTTGTTTCTTTGCTCTTGCCGCTGTTTCAAAGCCGTATGTTTTTGTTCAAGGCTAATTGGTGTAAAAGTAAAACAGAAAATGAAAACATTGTTTTATTAGAAATAACGGTCAAAAGCTAAAAGAAAGTTTTGACGAGGATCAAAAGGCCTTTTGCAGCCATTACCACCATTGGAGATAACGAGGAAATACATGGAAATGACCATTTGACCTAGCCATATTTCCACAATGACCTTTGACCATTTGAGAAAAAGAATAAAAGTTAAATAGAATTTTATATATCATTCGCCAAAATTACCCCCATCTTCCACAAAAATAGAAGAGGAGACGAAAATAGCAAAAAAAGGAAAAAATTCACACAATCTTTACAGTTGGGATCTGATCGAAGTTCTCATCCTCACAGTCTATCCAAAGCTGACAACCACAAAACTCGATTATTATCTTCAACAAAATTAGTTTTTAGGGATTAAGAGATTGATTTTTTATTTTGCATGTTTTATAAATTTGTATACTAAATTGTTATTTATAATGTTTATTCTTCATTATTTAGGTAGATTATTGGGTTTAGGATGAATTTTGCCCCAAAAAAAAGCTTTAACCTATCGAAAATGACGATTTCTTGCCATTTTCGACGATTGTGCTTTGTTGACCGTCAACCGTAGGTTGGGCTAGCTATAAAAATACTCAGCTTAGTTCGACTGTAAAAGCAATTGGCCCAGTCCAACTGTTGAAAGTCAATAAAGCATAGTTGACTGTAAGTTAAAGTTTTTCCGAAATCTATTCTAAACCCAATAATCTACCTAAATAATGAAGAATAACATCATAAATAACAATTAGTACACAAATTCACAAAACATGCAAAATGAAAAATCAATCTCTTAATCCCAAAAAACTAACATTGTTGACGATAATAACGGAGTTTTGTGGTTGTCAACGTTGGGTAAGCTATGAGGATGGCAACTTCGATATGATCCGAACCGTAAAAACTGTGAATTTGTTCTCTCTTTTTTTGTTCTTTTTTTTTTTTTTTTTTTTTTTTTTTTTTTTTTTTTTTTTTTTTTTTTTTTTTACTTTTTTTTTTTTTCCTCTCTTCTGTCTTTGTAGAAGATAGGAGTAATTTTGGCAAATGATATAAAACTTTATTTTAACTTTTATCCTTTTTTTTAAATGGTCAAAGGCCATTGTGAATATATGATTGGATCAAATGGTCATATCCATGCATTTTCTCATTGTCTATGATGGTGGTAATGGCTGCAAAATGCCTTTTCACCCTCATCAAAATTTTCTTTTAGCCTTTGATCATTATTTCTATTAAAAAAAATTTCATTTTTTTTTTTTTTTTTACCTTTACACCCATTAGCCCTAAACAAAAACAAACGGCTTTGATACAACGACAGCAACAAAGAAACTGCAACGAAAAGAGAGCGCTCTATGATTATCAAAATTCTATGTTAGTTTCAACTCACTTGGTAAGTACCCCATTGTAAAAAAATATACAAGAATAAGTACTTTTTCTAATGATTTTGGTAAATCAGTTTATTGATGATTGAGTCAAAATAGTTGCAAGTTTTATATACACGAATCAGTTGGCCCTCTACCTTACTCGTTATTCTTCTTTACCTCAATTATTGTCCTTCTTTAAACAAAGAATTTACTTAACCTGCGTTCGGACGTAATTTTTTAAGTTGTTGCATTGTGTTCGTGTGCTGTACTGTCGCTGTATTTCACACTAAATGAATAGAATAACCTAGTTAATTTACTCACTGATTACTGTGTCGGAATTATTGTGTTTTTAATTATTCAAGGTAATTAACGCTATAGGACTAGTATTAGTTTGGTCTGATATTTGGTATATAAAAGACCCCCTTGATAGCGTTTCTCAAATGCGGAAATGTGCACAATTTGATACATCGAGGTATTTATTGTTTTTCAGTGTTGTGCTTCTTTATCCGAACTATTCTTGAGTGTGACATGAATCGAAACTCAGAATTGTTACATTCATTTTGGATCGCATAAGAAATAAAATCTATACGTGTCTAAATAGTAATTCTAGTTGAACAAATTGAAATGAATAATGAAACATATAGGGCCATAGATGTTTACAGTAATTATGTTACGAATTTAGAAATTATATTGCATATAAGACATATTTATTACATAATCCTAAATATGTAGCGCTGGATAATAAAAATTCTAATTTGAAATGGATTTTGGCACAGTGGGTGCCTGATTATGCTTTATCTTGTTTAACGAAGTTCGCGGCTGAGACATTGTCACACAAAAAAGTCGAGCGAAGCCAAAAGTCTGGCCATTCCCGTGGCTTGCCTCGAGCTTCACTAAACAAAATTGACTTAGCTCGAGTTTTTTTTTTTAATTCTAAATTGTTGCAAACAGCTACTGTAGTTGCCTACAAAAAGTAGGCGGCACACAATCCTGTGACGAGTAAAAATGGCCTTGGCTTAGGTTAGGTCAAGGGCCGTCCGAGCAGATGGACTAATTTATCACCCCAAACTGAATCACATTGTACTGTGGACTCAAACTGGATTAGACTAAGTTCGATTTGGTCAAGCTCATTGTTTTTAAATTTTATGATATTGAAATTTATGGACTAAAACCATTTTAGCCCATCTAGAAATAATGTTTAGCCCATCCAAAACAGTAAACCAATTTTCCCAAATTATTAAACCCAGAATCAGCCATATGCAACAGGCAAAGAAAGGCAATGACCAGAAATTTCAATTCTTCTACACAGTTGAGGTATTAAAATTTCAAACCTAACTTTATATATTACATACAACTTACTATTTGGTTCATTTGACCGTTATTTAATATGTATTTGGTAACGATAAACGCGAACTGCAATTATTTTTTATATATTATTTTGAAGCTTTTCATTTTTATTTATTTGCTTTTATCTGTTTATTCATCTACGCCTTTTTATACATTCTACAACATTAGTGGAATTTAGCAAATTTGTTTACTTTTTAATGAATTCGAAATGTTCAACTAGATTACAAGTGTGATGACATTAAGTTGAAATCTTTGCAGTTATTTATGATAGTTTACCTTCATAAGTGTGGCTTTGCACTCATATGTTGGTAGCTAAATAGTGCAAGAAACGACGACTTGATTTTTAATGGTTTAAAAGGATTTGGATTGAAGTAATGAAGGTGGCTATAGAACAAAAAAAGACAAGTGTGCCTGTGTTGCCATGGATGTGAAATCCAATTGACAACAGCCTCTATGAAGAATGTCCTCTTAATATCCTCCATTTTCTGGAACCTAAGTAATATTTGTTCAATGATCGTACTATTGCAGTTGGACAATGTATTTATTTTATTTTTCGTATATTTTCTTGTTTGTTGTGCTGAGTGGAAATCTCTGGCAGTTGGCGAAAGGGGATTTCATTAAATTATGGATGTATTAATACCATCACAACTTATTATACTGTGGTTAGATTAATTGAATAATTTGTTACTCATTCAATGGTCCGATTTCTCCTTTTCCCCTTGTCACCCTCCTTTCTTTCCTTATTTTAGTAGTATTCATTTTCAAGTTAGAGGTAGCTTTATGTAACACGAGCCGTGCAGGTCATAGTTTGACAAGAGAAAATTGGAC